CTCTCTCTTTCTCTCTCTCCCCCTTCCTCTCTCTCTCTCTCTCTCTCTCTCTCTCTCTCTCTCTCTCTCTCTGCCGTTGCTTGCATAATTCAGCGGCGCTGTGCAGCGGGGCGTTCGGAAACAAAGCACGGGATGTCTCTCTCAGTTGCTCTCTGTCTCACTCTCTGACCCTTGCTTCGCTCACAGTTATCCTGGCTCACCGGCTCCGGCTGGCTGGGTACTTATTACCCCCACCCTACTACCAACTGCTCTCTGGTTCGACACCTCCCACCCCTGTGCTGCACTGTGCATCCCTCTACTCACACTATAAAATACTTACAGACTATATTCTTTTCAATATTGCAAATAAATATTCTTTCAAGCTAATTTCGAAGAACCATAGTTATTTGTGTCACTGCCTCAAAATCTTTTCAGCTTCAAAGAAAATCGTAATACGAAATTTATTGTTGGCAAGCAGTTTGCAGTGCACCCCAGCAACCAATCCCGCGAAAATTACCAAAAAATAATAGAACATAAACAATAATACAACATAAAACTAAGTTGTACTTCAACAAAAAAAGACTGACTTAAACTGTGTGTTGCTTACGATAGTTGCTGCCATCATCACACACTTGCGCTTGTATGCGCGTGACAAAGAAGTGCGTGACTGTACGGCGCACGATATATGTATGGTGTACTCGTTACTCATGTTTGAGTTTGGACAGCGCGTTATTGTGTGCGCGAGTGTGTCGGAGGAGGGGGAGTTATGGACAGGCGTGGAGTTTGCAAGTACTTCGGCGGGGTGGGGCGGGGTGTGGCGAGGCGCGGTGGTAAGTTTCCTTCCTTCCTTCCTGGGCCAGCCCTGCAGGGCCCCTGCAAGGGTGCGGGTCGGCGAGCTGCTGGTTGTGCTGCGGCCTGCTCTGCTGGGGGTCCGTGATGGTGGTCATCGATTTTGGTTTCACACTCAGCAGGATGCCGTGGGATAGAACGAGGGTCGCGTCACGTGGTGGGCCGACGGAGACTGCGGTGGCGGATAGCACGAGGAAAAGTCTACAAAGCATTGCCTTGTATTGCAGAGGAAATATGAACCTCGTCCTCGTATTGCTAAGCGAACTTTTTTGTAAATTCAAATCATTGCTTTGTTGTTACAAATCAGCGCTTTGCAGTTAAAAATCACTACTGTTAAAAATTTGACAAATCGGAACGACCTTGATAGAACGGACAACATGTTCGGTCATACATAAATACCCTAAATACCCCCCATAACCCTCTCAGTAGTACGAAACATTCATTAATGTCACCGTTTATATTTGAGAGAGCACTTAATTGTGTTGCGTGGTTGGGTGAATGAAATATATTTAATTGATTCCGATGGGGGTGGGTCTGGCTGTTCATTACTACCCCCCAGGGGCCTGTGTTTTATTTTCTTGTTTAAGTTGTGATCTTTTTTTGTTTTTGTTTCAGGTGAGCGAGCCGCACCCCCCATCGTCTATGGCATTGCAGTATTATATGGAACCCCCAATCGTCATCGGTAACTTTAAAAACTTTTCCAAAAATATATTTCTGTTTTAAATTATATAATGATCCCAAAATCTGATCGGATGTCGGATGTAGATTCATAGACTGGGTATTCGTGTCCGCACCTGAAATGTCTGCAATTTACCGGCATTGTGGTTGCAATACCCAGTGCCTGGGCAATAAAGTAGATCACGCAGAGTATCAGGGGACACGGCTGGGAGAGCCAACAAGTTTCCAACAAGTGTCGTCTGCTTGAAAACAGTGCGTCTCCATCAGGCAGAGGCCGAGGGCGAGAAGGGGCTGGGTGCGGCGGCAGCCCCCCGCTCTCTCTCTCTTTTCCCACTTCCTCCATTTTACCCTCGTCCGTTTGGGAGAAACTCTGTGATTGAAAATCCAACCGTCAAACTCAGTGGTAGTTGCCTGTCTTCGTCCTTTGGGGGATATCCTTTTGGGAGGTGGGCCGGGCCCGGGCTGGAACTGGAAAGGCGACTTCAGAAAGGTTGGAAATACTGAAAATAAATCTCCTTCCAGCGACAGGTTTTTTCTTTTGGATCTTTTCTGTTTTGTTGTTGTTATTAATTGTTGATTGCGATGTGATAAATATGTCCGTCCTGTACTTTAGAGATCAGTTTTGATAAATATTCAATATTCAAATGTTCAGTTCAGGTAACATTTGCTTCCCGCCCCTTTTCCGCCTTTCTCAGAAACGTTTTATTTCGCGCGAAACCGGTTTGAATCCTCTATGCAATTACAAAGCAATGTAGTTTGCAACTACTACCAACATATTTTTCTCTGTACTTACAAACTACCTTTGAACTTTGTAAATGGATTTGGCATTTGCTTCGAATGGTTTCAACAACTGTACATTCAACTGTTTTCGGAAAAGTGGATTTATACATTTGTTGCCGGTGGACTCCTTGTGCAGTGGGCAGATAATGCAGCCGGGGCCCGCTAAGCTCGACCCCCTCTGGGGCTCCGGGCTGGCCGGTGGCTATTCCCTCGCTCACTCCCCCCTTCTCTCTCTCTCTCTCTGAGGGACACACAAAAGACCTGGCTGTGTGTCGTGGAAATTGGCGCCCCCTCCTTCCTTGTGCTGCTGTTAATTTATCGAGGGAAGAAGCAGGACGCGAGGGCCGCGGAGGAGGGGAGTGCACGGAAGTGCTGGCCGATGTGTACAGAACCCGACAGAACCAGTCCTCCGTCGGTTTTTCCCCCCCACCCCCTTTCTCCATCTCTGTCTCCCTCACTCTCTCCCCCTCCATCTCCCCGCTCTCTCTTCCTCCCTCTCCTTCCCCTCCTCTCTCATTCATTCTCTCTCTATCAGTCGCGTAATTGAGCGTCAATACTCCCTGACATGCTCATTTAATATTGAGCTGTGGCACCTCTCTGGCGCGAAAATGATCCTATAGAAGGAGTCGGTGCTCTGTCATTTCGTTTATTTCCTTTTCTGCGTACCAAACTTGAAGTTTGTTGTGTAATTATTCAGACAGTCTCTCTCGGCTTCGCCACATAATGTTTTGGTTCCGTAATGTCGGCAGTGAGGTTCCGATCCGGGGCCGAACGGCCGTTGAAAGTTTAGAAAGCATTCATCTCGTGCGGTCTAACGTTCTGCTTCGCACCGCGAACTGGAGCGGGCCGCGGGGCACTGGGGCACGCGGCAGGGTCAGGGGCTAACTGGGCCAAAGTAAGAACAGCGGCGCGTAGAGAGACTCTCCGCTCTTCCGCCGCGGAGAGATAGGAGCCCAGCGCAGCGCAAGGGATATGTATGGAAAAGTTTGGGTGG